CGAGAACTTCTCGTAGGCTTGTGTTAACCACAGACCTTATTCCAAGTAAAAAAAAAAAAACGCTGACTTCAAGAACATGAAACTGGAAGTGGTGAAATGCATTGATTTCTGCGTTTTTATGACCCATTCCTGCACCACCCTATATCCCTCCTTTCCAATAACTTGATCATCCATTAAAGAGGCCCTATTCTTTTACCTTTCCTGCAGTGTATTATATATGTTGACCAATCACAACAGAGCCGGCCAGCTAACCAATCAGAGCAGACTGGGCTCTGGTTTCAGACAGAGGGGGGAAGAGGTGCTGCAGCACAGACAGTATGAGAAAAATAAAGAGCTTTTTGAACATTAACTCTTTAAAGTAGAGACACTACATACTGATATACACCTGAACATCAGCAGGAGAGGACTCTTTAAAGTAGAGACACTACATACTGATATACACCTGAACATCAGCAGGAGAGGACTCTTTAAAGTAGAGACACTACATACTGATATACACCTGAACATCAGCAGGAGAGGACTCTTTAAAGTAGAGACACTACATACTGATATACACCTGAACATCAGCAGGAGAGGACTCTTTAAAGTAGAGACACTACATACTGATATACACCTGAACACCAGGAGGAGAGGACTCTTTAAAACTCTTAATCTTTCCTTATTCTTGCCACACTTCCTCCTCTGCTTCGCTCTCCTTCTGTTTCCTCTCGAGCAGACTAGAGATCCTCCATCAAGGCTCCTTTTCATAGCAAACAACAGCAGCCTAGTGCTCTTAAACCCCCTCCCTCCCACTTTCTCTCTCGTCATGAAACCCCCCCTCCTCGTCTATCTGTCCGTTGTACCCGACATCTCCTTCTATCGAATCAATGCCGCACACCTCCTCGCTCTTATTGTCTCCGTGTCGCTGATGGAGCGAGAAAATAAAAATGTGGGGTGTGGGTGAACATCTAAGGGGGGGAAAAACAAAACGGGGGGCTTTTCTCCCTCCTCCCGCTACAAATCATCATCTGTTCAGCTGCTTAATGTCTTGTAAGCAAGGCTCTTTGTGTAGGAAAATGCACTTATTTCTATCATTAAATTGCTTTATGTCCCGCAAAAAATGGCGATTTGTACGTGGAAATAATGGCTGCACAATTAATACAGTTTATAGAAATTACAATAGTGCTATATTTAAATGTACAATATTTAGCACTCAAAAAGCAAATTTAATTAAATTTATTTTGTGCACTTGTTTAACATGATTGTATTTGGTTAGTTTAAATCAAAAATATTTAGTAGAATTGAGTTAAAATTCCTGTATTTTGCTTCTAACTAACCTGAAACACGTATACAAAATATATTTTATTAAATCAACGTTTAAATGTTTTAATAAATAACAAAAATGTTGTTAAAATTCTAGTTTTATTCAATTATTTTTGGACTTGCTGAGATATCCAGGCCCTTTTTTTTAAATATTAGTTTGATTAGTATCTTTTAAAGAAATTAATGTATTTACACATTTTTCAATAACAATGATGCAAAATGTGCATCCCCTCCATTATCATGAATGAAATAACATGGCAATATGAGTCAAAATCATCCCTACAAATTATTTTCCCAAGATTTTATTATGGACTTTTTCCCATCATTTAGTTCTGATGAACTAAAGAGCAGATCGCGTTCACACCGGAATAATTCCCTGAGGGAGGATTAGTCAAATGAAGCCGCTGACGTCACTTCTTCTTCTTCTTCTGCTTTGGGTTTACTGGCAGGCCGCAAACCACTTCACGGCGTATACTGCCACCCGAAGTCCCCGGCCGGAAGTCCCCGGAGTTGGGGACTGAAGCCTTCCGAGTAAATCGCCAGAACGCCGACACCTCCTCATCACTACACCGCTCCCATGTTTTCTTTTGTGTTGCCATAAGTTATTCTTTCTCCGTTGGTGCGCGGGGTTAATGCTAATGCTAATAATGCTAATGCCAGCAAAACTTTTCAGAGTTTTACGGGGCGTGGTTTGCAATTCTCCCAGCCAATCAGAAATTGGAACCTTTTTTAGCAGGCACTGAAGAGGGGTGAAAAGGTTCGCCAAAAAAAAGTTCTAGTTCCAGATCTTTTTGGTGGAACGCAAAATCCCAGGAACTATCGGAACTATTCATGGGAAAAGTACTCCGGTGTGAAAGCGCCTATTTGAATTCCTTCAGCTCCAAAGAAGAAAAGGCGATTTATATTAGGAAACGTTTTCTTTGTTAGCGTAATATCTGTGTTCCTACTTAAGTCTCAACAGTTTGCTATGACTGTGCGTTTCCTCAGTTCCTTCCATTGCTACATTTCCCAACTTATCCCCCACTTGCACCTTGTGTCCTAATGCCTCTAAAAGCTCACCTTGTTGCAAGCGATAATTCTCCAGTCAATCTGGTTGTATTGCAGCATCATTAAGACGTGTCACACAGCCGCATTGTTCTTGTTCTGAATAAAGAGCGAGAGCCAGACTGCTTTCAGTGTCACTCAGCCCGGCTGTTATTATAATCCCTTCTGTTAACAAGTGCTGCATTTTTCTTGGTTAGCTTCTCTGGACTCAACACGTACAGCAATGGGATGAGTTAAGGCAGAGGTGTCCAAACTTTTTTCACCGAGGGCCACATACAGAAACCTCTGATTTGTCAACAGACTTCATGCAATGATGCATGGGATGCATCATTAGATCTATAAACTCTAACCATAACCCTAACCCTAAGACCCACGACCAAGCAAAACAAGTATAATTTCTTATGTGGCCTAATGTACAAAAGGGGCGAAATGGGAAGACACCGAAAAATATACGAAGGGCTGGGCCACTCACTAGAGGGGAGGTTTATTGCCTCATAAGTGAAGTTATAAGTTAGCAAAATCAATCAAATGTAGGTAAATGATGCTTAATACTTGAATATGCTTTAAGAAAAACAATCCCAGCTCTCCAGAGGGTTTCATTTATTTAGTTGGCAGCTCATTCCTTTAAACAGAAGCCTCAGATGGATTACAATAAGGGGAAATAGGAAGAGTAAATTTCAAGCTTGTTGTGTAAATAAGTAATTGGGCTTTTTTCTTATCACCTTAGATTTGATAGAAAATGTTTTCAACTTTAATTGACAGAATTTATTTGAAAAGTGGGCTTAATAACACATGAATACTACTGAGTAATATATGTGTACATATATATTTAAGAACTACAAGACAAGCACAAGTTTCATTTGTGGGCCATTCCCTATTATAGTTTTTGTTGTAGTTTGGACACTCCTGCAAGAAGAATTTTATATTCTTGTCATTACGTTACTGATGCTTTTAGCCAAACCAACGTACAATAAGTGCAATAAAACGAGTAGATACAAACGAAGAAGAGCAAGAAACCTGCAAGTATATTAGCTTTTAAATGTCCGAACCATTTTAAGCGCAACATGCAGGTTTATTTAATTATAAATTGGTGGGTTTTGAGACAGAAAATCTGTAGTGCTTACGTCACTTGATATCTTTGACTTGCAGCATAACAGAGGGTGGGAATTAACATCTGGGAATTTGTTTAAATGTATTTATTTATCAGTAAAGCAAGCTGAGCAAACGGCATTGAAGAAAAAATATGTTTAACGTGGAAATACTCTACAAACGATGTGTGTTAAGTAGTAAGGGTTTAGTTCAAACGTGTGTTCGGGAAGTAGTGATCATTTTGCGGATATTTCCTCGTCTTTTACACTTTTTCTTCAACACTTGTCGCTCCTTTAAGTAACTTTGATTATAGTTGAATCCATAAATGCTGGTCATTTTAGATTGAATGCATGTGAAGCTACAAAAGTACACTTTGACACTTAATTTATTGTTGATATCTTAAACGTAGGGATGCCAAATTAACCAGATGTTATTCAAATTGAAATATTTAAATCATGGTGATTAAAACATATTTGGTAAAAGGCAAAACCTGTGTAAATGTCTGAATGAAGTATCGTGGCGCTGCAGCGAAGTCCTGGACTACAAAATGTATTTAACTTAACGAAAGCATTTTGCATGGCTAGGCGCTCATATTTCACACTTCCCGGGTAAAGACCTCCATACCTCCCTCTCTAGACCATATCCCACTCCTGACATTGTTAGAGGAGAGTGGGTTCACTCGGTGTACATTTAATTTCACTGAACCTGCTTCACCCTGATGTGATTATCAGGAAGCCTTTGGACTCTGTGACTATCAAACTGTCAGATAGGAGGAGCGTTATCCAATCTTATATCTGCTCGCTGTGGCTCTGAGTGCAGAGGTAACGAGATACAGCTGATCAGTTAACAGGAGGAGCACATGGTTGTAAATCAGGCATCAGATTAGTTAGATAATCAGAGGAAGAAAAGGAGAAAGCTTTGGTAAGAACGTGACCAAGCAGTGATGACGTATTTTTATAGATATTGCAGAAAATAAGCAGCGTGGCAAAAACACTTTTATGATACTCACATGTTTAATTCAGCAGGATAATCTCCACATGTTAACATCACTTTTATATATTTTGAAGCTTAAATGCAATCTCCAGAAGTAAAAAGCTAACGTTATGGTTTTAAAGAAACCACAGCACGGTCACATGACTTCACTTCACCACCGATAAGCTAAAGGAGGCTAATGTTGGGCTATAAAGGAACTACAGCACGGTCACATGACTTCACGTCACCACCGCTAAGCTAAAGGAGGCTAATGTTGGGCTATAAAGGAACTACAGCACGGTCACATGACTTTACTTCACCACTGCTAAGCTAAAGGTGGCTAATGTTGGGCTATAAAGGAACTACAGCACGGTCACATGACTTTACTTCACCACCGCTAAGCTAAAGGTGGCTAATGTTGGGCTATAAAGGAACTACAGCACGGTCACATGACTTCACGTCACCACCGCTAAGCTAAAGGTGGCTAATGTTGGGCTATAAAGGAACTACAGCACGGTCACATGACTTCACGTCACCACCGCTAAGCTAAAGGTGGCTAATGTTGGGCTATAGAGGAACTACAACACGGTCACATGACTTCTACGTCACCACCGACTAAGCTAAAGGAAGCTAATGTTGGTGGTGATGACGTGTAGTCGTCTCATTTACACTTGTTTTAAATTCACCAGTGGGGTATTTTATGAACGGGAACAAAATGTTAAAATCTCTTCAGCTTGTGTTAACCACAGACTTTATTTCAGGAAATACAAAAGCACATTCAGAAAAACTTCCAGACGAGGGAACAAGACGTGCTTAAAAGCTGCCTTACTTCTAGTTTAGGACTCAATTCCTGTCAGATATTGAACTTTAGCTGATGATGCGTTTCCTCTCTGTCCTCCTGCAGGTTTGGAAACGACGTCCAGCACTTCAAGGTCCTCCGTGACGGAGCGGGGGAAGTACTTCCTGTGGGTGGTGAAGTTTAACTCTCTCAACGAGCTGGTGGATTATCAT